CGGGTTGGCTGAATTTAGTAGAGGGAGGGGTTCGATAGATTTCTCATTCCTCCACTGGTCAGCTGTTTCGCGGCGAGAGTTGGGGTTCACACGCTTTCACCGTCTTTCTGACCCGGGGTGGATTGAGAGGGTTCAATCTAACGGTCTCCTAAGAGTAGGTCCGTGATGAATCGGGTGTTGGAAATTGGCCCCTTTCCTCTACTAATAAAACAATTCGCCGCTCCTTTCTAAAAGCAGGTTTTAACATTTGGAGAGTTAGTGACAAAAGTCCTTTTCAATGTCTTTTGGACAGATTCCTCTTATTAGTACATATGGCGCTTTCTAAAAGTAAGGAGAGTGTCGGGCTGGTTTGGGTTTAGTCCGGGGATTGTGACCCGTCATAAACTTTACTATCCCGGAACTGCGAAAGGGTTCAGGTCCCGTTGGTTGGAGTGGGGTGTGAGGTATTGCCTCTGCTTTGATGTAGCGACAAGTACCGACACAAGTGAACAAAACATTGTAGTCCTTTGCATTGTACGGTTACATGATGTTTCGACTCTAGCTGTCCTATAGCGTCGATAGAGTTTGAAGGAGGTGCCAGGATAGCGCAGTCGGTATAGCGACTGTCTACAGACTGGACGGCCGAGGGGTTGGAGTTCGAGTCCTGGTAGGGTCAAGAATTTTCACTTCTTCACGTCGTCCAGACCGGCTCTGGGGCCCACCGAGCCTTCTTTCCAATCGGTATCGGTGCTATCTCCCCGCGGGTTAAACGGCCGGGGCTTGAAGCTGACCATTCACCTTCAACTAGTGCCGTTGTCAAGAATAGGTGGATCTATACATCTACTCCCCTCATACGTCTTCATGGCATAGTACCTAATAAGTTAAGCACAGGGACTTTACCTCAGCTGGAGGCTGAAGGAATTTAATGGCTCTGCAATAGATACAGTTTTGAAAGGAGGCAGCAGTGTGCTATTTAAGATCATTATTCTGACTTTCACATCAGAAGATGAGAAAAGCTCACAGAATTCAATCAGGATAGCTGATAACCTGGTCAAGAGTCTAACTCTGGACTTCCTGAATAGAAACACACATCCTAACCATCATACAGAGATTTCATATCAAGTTTAATTGTAAGAAATGGGTGTACACATTTCCATGTCTCCTTCTGCAAACAAAATTCTTTCTCTCTTATGTCTAGCAGTCTGCGTCACTGTAAACCAACTTTCTTCATTTAAGTGGGCTCTAATTTTTCTCTTTTTTTCACAGGAGTGATACTAAATGTCTTCACATTTTTTCTATTTCTCTGAATTGGTGTTCATGCGCTTGGCTTTGTTGGCTAAGTTTGTAACATAAATTTCTACCTCATTTTCTATCCTAGTTCCAGGCCTATGCATGCTATATCACAATTTTTATTGCATATTTTCTTGTTATATCCCTCCGAATTAGCCTGATCTCAGGTGATTAAATATCTGTGTCAGCCTAACTGGACTTATCTAGTGATAGAGATTAGCTCGTTCTAAGGGACCCAGCTGAGTAGATGTCTTCCTCCCTTACCTGAGGACGGAAACAAATCCAGTTTCCCGAACATCGTGTTTTCTAGTCTCTGGACTACTCGACGATGGAAAAATATAAAAAACAGTAATTCTGAGAGAAGAATTATGTTTTGGAAGCTATTATAGTGATTCTCGCATTTCTTTCACAGAAAAGTAAGCCTAAGTACAGACATGAACACGGCTTACTCTCCTCTCACGCAGTACAACGGCTTGAATCCCTTAGAGACCTGTCTTATTACTTGTTAATATTAGAAAATATAATCATGATCCTAAATCTCGTCTCTGTGAGTGTTAACTGTGTTCCTTCTTAGCTGTATTCTTTCCTAATCCAGTTAATTTGCATTTCAGCATAATGAAACTGTCGACAAGGTAAATCCAGTTTGGGAGGCACTTCTTCCTACCTGAAGGGGAAGACTTCGCTGAGCATCATCCATGGTATCTCGAACATTACGCTGCTGCAGAAGGAGAGTACAATGATGAGCGAGAGAGGCAGCCATGTCGCCGAGAGCTGGTCTGCTCCACCCGGCCTCAACACCACATAGCTGTAGATCCCTAGCAGCAGACAGGAGGCGCCGTTTCCTGCTAGGGAGACCAGGGACAAGAATCTCTTCCCGAGCCAGGTGACAGTAGAAACCAGACACGCGGCGCCGACAATACCAATCACTGCAGAGCCCACCTGTGACAGCAGTTACAGATCAACACATATTTACTCATGATGCTGTACATGACGGCGATTGCTTTGTGACGTAGTATACATTATGTAAATGCAAAGCTGTACCTTGGCCGCGCCATAGCTCAAGAGGTTCGTCGCTGGCTTCCCACCGCGGCGGCCCGGGTTCGATCCCGGGTCTGATCAAGTGGGATTTGTGGTGGACAAGTGGCGCTGGGGCAGGTTTTCTCCGAGTACTTCGGTTTCCCCTACCAATCTTCATTCCACCAATTTCTCCATCATCATAATCACCCGGGGCAGGCTACAATATGCCAATCAGTGGCTGCCGTGCCGAGTGGACCCAGTTGGACTCCACCCATCACCAAGCAAAAAAGTTGTCCCTGTGCTTAACTAATTGAGCACTACGCCAAGAAGACGTATGGGAGAGTGGATGTATAGACCCAAATTTTCTTGGCCTCGACACTAGTTGGAGGTGAGTGGTCAGCTCACGCCCCGGCCGCTTTACCCCAGGGAGAGAGCCCCCGGTACCCATTGGATAGGAGGCTGGGTGGGCCCCAGAACCGGACTGGGCGACGTAGAGGAGAGAAAATTTTTGACCCTATTGGGACTCGAACTCCGACCCCTTGGTCGTCCAGCCCGTAGCCAGTCGCTATACCGACTGAGCCATTCCGGCTGAAGTATACGTTAGGTTCACGTTGAAATTAATAGCAATACTAAGTAGCTAACATCATGGTCAATTTGCTTATCTGGTAATGAAATTTCCTGCTTTTTGTGGAAAGCTAATTTTGCTACTGCAGCGAAAGAAGTCCCAGCTTTCCATTTGACCCTATCCTGAGCTAGTCGAATGTAGTCCATACATTTGTATCTAATATCCATTATAACATTATCATACCATTTACTGCTTGGTCTCCCATGCAGTTCGTCCTCTTGGGTCTCTTCGCACACATTCTGTCTGTATTTCCGTATCTCCATCATGTGACCTACCTGTCACCCCAACCCATTCTCCTACATTATGTGATACAGATCACGAATATCACCACTTATAGGCCCTAAGGATCGGGTGTGGTTCGCCCCCCCCCTCCCCCCAGCCCTTCCAGCGCCGCTTCCAAGTGGCAGGCTTCACACAAGCGGGGAATAAATCTTCCTCTTGGCAAGTGTCTACTTTTGGAGATAATCCTGTGTTTTTTAATTGGATAGTAATTTACGCAGTTACGTAGCTAATGAGATGGATGGTTAGATATTTATACTAAAGTTACAGAAGCTCAGTCAAGGAGGTTACGAGTTACGGCTGATTGAGCTTGCATATTAGAAGATTTTCAGTTACGAGTCCTTTTGTAAAGCAACCACTTGACCGAGAATATTAAATATATTTTGTAGGAATAGATTGTGATCATTTGAATTTGCTTGAAATAATGAAAGACGAATTTCCGATGCCGGGGCGTGGATGTTAGCGCGAATGAATATCAAGTTTCAGGTATGAGAGAATTGTCCAGTTACCGTGGTCCATTCCGCAGCGTCATCCAGGCCTAGCTCTCTGAACACATGCACCATGAATGGCCTAATGCTAGCCATTCCTGCTAGCTGCTGTATCAGGAAGTACGGAAGCACTAGCATCAGGGGGCGCAGAGTGGGGGGGCGCAGCATTTCCCTCCAAATTTCAAGGTTGCAGTGCGATGAGTCGCTATCAGCCCTGTTGGAAAATCATAGATACCGTTTTATATTAATAGGATCATACCCCCAAATCAGGTGAAAGGAATTTAGATACTTTACCACTGCCAAAAGATGGCTGTAGGGCCCAGTTAGTTACAAATTAAGATGTTGGCTGCTCTGTCACTGTGACCTAAATATCCGGTGAACAAAATCAAGTTACGTATCTTTCATGGTATGGAGATGTGTTTATAAATAATAAGACGGTGTTATGTGTGTATATTTATATATACATATATACAAGTTCTGCTTAACTATCTGCCTGAAAGTATATCTTAAAAGGTTCAGTGAAATAGTGCAAATGGTTTGTTACATCTTATTTCTGTGTGACAGAGGGTCGTGGGTATAATGTATGTTGTTTTGTTCTCAATAATGTCGAGTGTAAAGTCACGTTATATTTTTGTGTGTAATTTATACAGTGCTGTGTAGTGAGGCTTTGTAGTGTTTTCAAGAATGTTAAGTTAGTATTTGCGGGTTTTCCCCGCTGAGGGTAAGCATGCATAGAGCTTACTTCCACTCCTCATACACTTTCATATTCTTTAGTCTGAGACTCAGTGACTTCACCGTTTGAAACACGTGGAAGTAAAAGTTTTTATGCATATGATCGTATACATATGTCTACTATATCATCCGTTGATAAGACGAGTGGTTGAACAGCGCAGCCGTTCTATAAGATTAGGTAATCAACATTCTCAAAAGCGTTTAACAACAGCTTGTTCTTTTTTACCACCTTACAATAAAGTTTCAAGGACACAAAATACCATTTTGAAAAGAGGAATATTTAGAGTGTTCGTACAGGCATTTTTACCCTACGTGGTTCCTTATTCTACCTAGAATATAAGAGCACATGCGTCTGGCCGGCTTTCATGGAAACGCCCGTCGCTTTCAGGCGTCTCCTTCTCATACATGACTCACCTTGACTACGTTATCTTCGAAACGAAGTCGATTGTTGTGCGGGAGATCCCCCCCTTCCCCCCCCCATATCCGTGTTACCAACAAAGTATGTTCGACATTTTGCTTTTTGGTCTCAAGTCCGGGTATCGCACTTTTCTGAAGATACCACTAATATGGTTTTAATTATGGTGATAGTGTCCATAAATTACAAATATTTAATAAAAATGGTTAGAGCCGTCTTCGAAAAAATCTCCAGGTCCTGAGTCCGCAAGCGAACTATACCAACCGACCGACCGTGCGACCGCCGCTTATCGTCCAACTTTAGCGGATAGAGTGCGTCGGGTGGTCGGCGTAATATCCCCATGGTCGTTAATTTCGGTTTTCTAGACTGGAGCCGGTATTTCCTTGAAATACCTCCTCAACAGTTTTTGTTTTCTTTTTTCGGGGTCTCATTTGAAGACCCCCTGCTTGAGGAAGTAGAAAATTTGTAATCACCGAACACGGACAAACTCTTACATAACGAATAAGACACATTCAGGGGCTAGCAAAGTGCACATACGTGCACAGACAGAGAAGAAAGCAGTTTTACAGGGAGATGTAAGGGCAGATGTCCCTCAGCAAGTTACCTACTGCTTTAGTCTTACACTCTCGACTGAGAAACTTCTGCGTCCTGTTGCCGGCATCAGTGATGAGATCCTAAGTCGATGGGTTCATTACGCTAATTAAACAATTAAATAAAATAAAAATGGTAACGCTATCCCTGTAACAGTCCCTGTAGGCCCATAAGGTTGTGAGACATCGATGCTCCCTCATTTTCTCTAGACAATCGGCTCACAGATGGTGGTAAGTTTGTCAGTCTTACGCGCAAGCCACGTTTTACCCTCCAGGAAGATTCCTGGTACTCATTTCTGTTAGAGGCAGAGTCGACCCTAGGGCCATAGCGCGGCTGGAAGGATTAGATAAATTGAAAAAAATTCAATGAACTCGTTGGGAATCGAACCCGCGACCTTCAGACTTGTACCATAATGCCTCAACCAACTACGCTACCGCGTGTCCACTAATTAGGCAGTTAACTATAGTAGCTAAGTAATTAGCAACACCAACCAGAGTATGAATCAGGAAACTGATAGGGTCGTCGGTATAGCAACTGGCTGCGAGCTAGACAACCGAGGTGTTGGAGTTCGAGTCTCGGTAAGGTCAGGAATTTTCTCTTCTCCACGTCGTCCAGACCAGCTGTAGCGTCCACGGAACCTCCTGTGCAATGCGTATCGGGGGCTTTTCCCTGGCGGTGAAGCGGCAGAGGTGTGAATCTGAACACTCGCCTCCAGCTAGTGCCGAGGTCAAGAAAACATGAGTCTGTGCATCCACTCCCCCATACGCCTTAATGGTGTAGTGCTTATCTAGTTAAGCACAGGGAGAACTTTACCGTTTACCTAGAGAACTTGTTGAGCTGCTTACCGTATTTACGCATGTATAGGCCGCGTGCGTGTATAGGCCGCAGCATAATTTTCAGACAGAAATTATAGAAAAAAATAATTTTCTTGGAATATTATTTCAGGAGTAGAAATTATTCCGAAATTTGGCAACGTTTAACATTCCTAAGTTCGCAACTAGCGAAAATAACGGTACCGCTCGGAACAAAGGCATTGCGGGGGAGAGTTATAACCTTTTCGCCTTTACTTGACTTGCCTGGTTAGTTCTGAGTGAAACATGGGTCGAGTAAGAGCAGGTTATACGNACTGGTCAAGAAATTACCCACATTCTGTGAACCTGAATCTTCATTACCGTGCGCAGGAGGACCCCTTAGTGGTGTCCGTTACTTTAACGCAGAGCAGAGCTGTGATCCTCGTGTCTTGACAGTCTACTTACAGGGTAGGTGTAGTGGACACTGCGCGCATTCCTCTTTCGGTTGCGTTGCTATGAAACTCGTTGTTGATGTAATTTTCTTTATCGCCCTGATCCTCCTGGTTTCTTGACTTGTGTTTCATCCAGGGAAAGAATAACAGAAAAAAATAATTTGTTTATATGATTTAATAAAAATATATGTGTATTTTGCATCCTGTACACAGTTTACTAGACAGTAACAAATATTTTCGTTCTATCATCTATTCAGAAGGATTGAATGCAGGATTATAGACTCTGACAGCAGTGGTTACGAAGAGTTCTGTAGTCTGCGGTATATTTCCGTGCAGTCAATTGCAAGTCAACGGAAGTTTCGGAGGAAAGTTTCGCCTCCATGTGGAGACTTGAAGAGTAACCCAAGCAATATTTCTGGCTGCTTCTTGCTGGTTTCTCTTCAAATTCCTCAAAAGTAAGGAAGGTTAAATTAAGGTAATAATGCATTACTTTTAACCCTGTATTATTTTCAAATATTTTAGGTAGTACGTGGACACAGGTGGTTTTATAATATATTATAATATATTGTGACATGTTGACCCCCCCAGCGGCACGTGGCGTGAACGTAACGCTCGCGTTACTACGGTAATACGCGAGTAATCACCCCGCAATGCGCAACGCGCGGTGACGTCACGAGCGGAGCCGAAGAGAGCCGAGCGGAGCCGAAGATAGCCGAGCCCCGTAACCTGGCAACTACGCAAGGCGAATCAACAGCGGTGACGTAACCGGACAGCGTGGCTACAAGGGTGCCTATTACATGGCCGTTTTCCCGTATTGTCCGATCGAGGCTACATAGGGAGCAGCGAAGGCTATTCACAGACAGTTGAAACATAGCAGCCTGCGAGTGTGCGACAACTAAGAAGTCAGCGAGCGGAAGACTTATTGTGTGCTTTCCAGACATAGTGATTGCTGTAGTACAGCTATACTCAGAGTGTGTATTTCAGGGAGACTTGTATAGCTCCCGCGTTATTAGTACGTGAAGACAAGTGAAGACAGTGTTAAGAGATTTGTTGTAGGGTTTGTAAAGTGTGGAAACCCGTGATATTGTGATAATTAAGTGTAGCCGATAGTTGTAGATTGTTCAATAAACCAGTTAACGATCTCTACGGCGTCTTCTGTAACGTAAACACGTTACAATATTATATTATATTATTATGGAATGCGAAGTATTAAATAGATATTAGGAAGATAAGGTGAAAGAAGTAAAACTATCCCTTTAACAGGCCGTGGAGACTCATAGGTTTGTGAGATGTCGATGCTCACATTTTCTTTAGACAGTCGGCTCACAGATGGCGGTAAGATCGTCAGCCTTACGCGCAGGCCACCTTTTACCCTCCAGGAAGATTCTTGGTACTCATTTCTGTTAGAGGCAGAGTCGACCCCAGGGCCATAGCGCGGCTGGAAGAATTAGATAAATTGGAAAAATTCAATGAACTCGTCGGGAATCGAACCCGCGACCTTCAGACTTCTACCATAATGCCTCACCCAAGTACGCTACCGCGTGCCCCATGAGATCGAGAAGATACTACTGATAACGTATCCCAAGCAGATATTCCTACAGACCAGTTCGATAAGTTCGTGTCTTACTGATCTAATTCCATTAAAAGCTCTGTCCGTATTTACAGAAGTGACAGTGTCAAGAAAATATATAATTTTTAGTACGAACAGTAAATTCCGTTTGACCTTAAAAGGAACGGTATCTCAGAAGAACACATTATTTAATTCTTAGAACAAGTACTCCATGCAGACACTTGATTCAAACAAACACTTCATACAAACAAACTTTTCATAAAACAAACACTCAATACATATGCAAACAAATTAATCTGGCTTAATGTGTTCACAACCTGCAAGACAACAGGTTCAAAAGAACAGATCCTGATACATCATGCAACAGGAAGACGATGACTTCATTCCAGCCCCCCATTTAAAAACAACTGCAGGATGCGAAAACCGAGGTCGAAACTGGTCATCTCCGTATTGCCTAAAACCGTAAGTAAAAAAAATAAAAGTATCCCTGTAACAGGCCATGAGGGCCCATAGGGTTTGAGACGTTGAGGGTCCCACACTATCTAGACAATCGGCTCAAAGATGGCGCTAAGGTTGTCAACCTTACGCGCCGGCCGCGCTTTGCTCCCCAGGAAATTATTTAATTAATTCCTGGTACTCATTTCTGTTAGAGGCTGAGTCGACCCCAGGGCCATAGTGCGGCTGGAGGGATTAGGTCAATTGAAATAAATCCAATGACATAATCGGGACTCGAACCCGCGATCTTCCGGCTTGTAGCAACCAACTACGCTACGAGTGCCACCATAAAACCGTAAGAGAGTTTCAAAATAATAATGTTGTTGGAGGTGATGATGATTTTCCTGAAAAAAGAAGTCACTTGAGTTTTAATCATATACCTTATAGTAACTGTAGCCGGGATAGCTCTGTCAGCATAGCGACAGGCTGAGGGGCCCGGGTTCTCTTCCCGGAATGGCAACATTTTTCTCTTCTCCACAGCGTTCAGACTGGCTGTGGGGACCATCAGCTTCCTATCTAATGGGTACCGGAGACTACTTCCCCCGGGGGTAAACCGGAAGGGGCGTTAAGCTGGCCACTCACCTCCATCTAGTGCCGAGGTGGAGAATGGTTGAGCTATATCTCTACACCCCGATATGTCTCATGGCATAGTGTCTAATTAAGTAAGCACAGGGAAAACTTTACTTTTTTTACCTTTACCTCATAATAAATACGAAAAATTGAATTAATATTTCAAATTTCGCTCTATTTTCAATGGAATTCCTCCGTAACAAAAAACTCCAGGCCTCTGGCTTAAAATTAAACTGAATAAGAATCTTCCTCTTTTAAAGTACCAGGTGAACAGTTCATCGCTTGAACGGCTGTCAGCAATATATCCTTGACAGCTCCACTCTTACGAGGGGAGCTGTTGATTCTGCGGCCCTCAGACCACAGGTAAACTGTACAAAGTAAGAACTGGTATGGCACCGTGTAGGTAAATCTATTCCTGTAACAGGCCGTGGAGACCCATAGAGCTATGAGACGTCGTGGCTGCCACAATTTCTACACATTCGGATCACAGATGACGGTGAATTTGTCAACCTTACGCGCCGGCCGCTCTTTCCCCCCATTAATCTTCCTGGTACTTTTTTCTGTTAGAGGCTGAGTCGAGCCTAGGGCAATATTGCGGCTGGAAGGAATAGGTAAACTAAAAAAAAAAATCAATGATCTTATGTGGACTCGAACCCACAACCTCCGGCTTGTAGCATTAATAGAGCTGGGCTTGGTTACTTTGGGCTCTTACCAGAGAGCTGAACTGAACCATTGGAGATGTGACAGGATTCCTCTTACTGGTCGCGTTGTTGTACGTGACCAGCTGGTTGAACTCTTCTTTGACAACGTCTGGCGTCACCCAGCCTCGAAGCCAGCAGAGGGCGCGTTCTGCATCTTCCGTCCGGCCACGTGACAGCAGCCATATTGGCGTTTCAGGCATCTGTAACATGGAAGTGTGATACTATCTGAAACAAGAAGTTGGAACGCTAGCCATCCCCAAGGTATTTTTTGAGAACGTTCCGTAGCATGTATTTCTTCTTTTCGTTGCGTGCTATATGCCTGCCACACTAGATATTATCACAACTAAAGTACAATGCGAAGGGTAGTACGAAAATTTTCTTTATGTAAATTTCTTCGTTTCCATATTGCATTTTAGATTTGTCAAAAAGAATATTTTAGTTTCTCTTTTTGCATGCATACTATGTGCTGTGCCTTAGTGTCGCACGTGCAACACCGCGTGGTGTTGCAAGTGAAACTATAACTAATCGACATTAAGTGAAAAGTGCAACAGGATGCTACAATATAATTATTATGCCCAGTCGAGTATATTACATCAAATTAATTTCTGAAGTTATATGGCGTCGGATGAGGTATCGTAGGAAGATTATAAAAGGTTAAGGGCGATGACACACGGAGCGGTTGTGCCGAGTCGGCCGCAGCCTTGTAACAAGACACACGATGCTGCACGCCGACTCGGCGGCCGCGTCAGGAACTACTGAGAATGTATTCAATCTATGAAGCAACAACACGCACGAAGTCCTAAAACCGCTCGCTGCACCGCCTGCAGACGACAGGCCGAGTCGGCCAATCTGCCGCCTATCGGCGAGCACTGCCTCGTCTATTTAATCCCATTTGATGCAATAGAACTACGCGCCGAATCGGCCGCCGAGTCGGCACAACCGCTCCTTGTGTCATCGCCATTAGAGTAAAGTGTGAGTGCAGAAACAGCAGGGACATATTCAACTGCATTGCTGTGACATCCGATTGAAGTGCAACAAGTATCCAGTACCGATGAGTGCGACATTCACCTCTAGTCAACATCAAGAAATAATAATGTCCTTCACTGTGTCGTTCGATTTCATTCACTGGGCTTTGAAAATATATTTTCATATTCTCGTTCAAAATTGCGTTATTCTATGAATACAGTGAGAATATTGTTACGTGTATGGTGGTACGCATGACGAAAATAACGGGTTCTAGTTCGGATGATTGGATTTATTAGCACCTTGGTTACAAGTTCTTTCAATCACACTTTAATACAGTTTGTTGCTGATTTTCTCGCTTTCCAAACAACGTTGCACATGTTATAGGATTCCCACTCTTCACTAGCCGTTTTCTGGCAACGGAACCCAACACAGAATCTAACACTTCAAATCAATATGAAGTCTTATTATTTCGTCTTCAGTCACTCTGGAACCTCGGAACTAAAAATTCTTCTGGACTCACTCC